GTTCATATGACTGACAAGTGGGATAGGTTAGGAATGGCTGGATTTACGAATTCAGATAAACTTCTTTTACTTTCTCTGTCTTTCCCTCCACTCCGCTCTTTTCTCTGTTTTGATGCCACATTCAGGCTACAGCTTCCAGCCTCCAACAGCTTCACATTTATGTGGTCTTTTCAATTAGCGGCTCCAATGGAGAAAGAGGGCTTCTTCTACCTTAGCTTCAGGCTCAGTTGCCCATCCTGAACCCATCACTGGTCTATGAGATGTGGGAGCACTGCTGGGCCCGCCCCCCCCACCGGGAGCCGCAAGACAAAGAGGTAGAGGTGGGGAAGGTGAAAGGCTCTTCCAGGCAAGACTAAAGTTGAGGGAGGGACAGCTTCTCAGAAGTCAAATGAGGGCATTGTTATAAGTGGAAATACAAGCTGAGCCATCAAAAAATAATAGCCATGCCTTGGCTTCTCTCCTTCCATGCACATGCTTTTTAAAATGTCCCCACCTAATAGCATGTACTTGTTATGCACACGCATGAAAATGTACTCGCCCACACTCCAGAGGGAGAGAACTTGCTTTAGCTCTAGCTCCTGGTCCCTGACATTTAAGTGATTTCTATTCTTTCTCATAGCTCATGGTGAACCTACAAATTTGATGATTCCCCACACAGTCGCTGTAAAGCGGCAGAAGGAAAAACAGGCTGACTTCTACCAGAAAACAAAGGCAAGGGGAAAATAATAAGCAGGGAGATTGTCCTACAGGATGCATTCAATTCTGCTAATTAGAAGTAGCAAGGATTACCTGCCAGGAAAGGAATGGAGTTCTTGAAACAACGTAGCTATCGCCACTTTAACTCTCCCAGAAAGATTCTCATGATTTTCATCCGTGACCGCAACTGTGATGGCAACTGAGGACGGTTTCCCTTCTCAGGACTGAACCGCTTTGGCCACCGACTTGCTGGTGTCCCTCAGCAGTGTGGAGCTCATCTCTACTCTGAACCCTGGCCTGGAGCTGTCTGTCTTCTAAGGAAACACCTCAGGGTTGATTCACTTTCCAGGCCAACTTGACCTCTGCCTAGGGGCGATTGGAAACAATTAACTGGGATTGAAGACGACTGACAGGTTGGCCTCTCCATACAAGGCCGTGTCCTAGCGGTGAGCTCTTTTAATGGGGGTGACCTGCTTTAGAGCTGTCATTCAGCTGTAATTATTAATAGCACCCCTCACCACATTCCAAACTGTCCCATTTTAGATGATAAATTATACAGTCACCCTACTTAAAATGAGGTTAAGCCTTTTCTTCCTCAGGCAGGGAGGGAACAGCAGGAAGAGTTTGATGCGGACCCTGTACAGTCTTTTTACCATGATCTGAGTTTTTTGCCCTCCTGCCTTTGCTGTTACTCTGGAAAGGGCAGAGAATTTCATGTTTCCAACCTGGCATGGCTCGATATATCTGACTCTTGACCATTTGGGTTTGCCGGCTAGTGTCAGAAAGGACGTCTTTACCCAGGCTCTAATTTCTTCCTCCCTGCTTCCACTGAGGCCAGTTTCAACACTAGCATATCTGGTTCTTCAGAATATTTATAAACACTGCAAACATTCTAAAATGCTGTCATTTGTCAATCAAGACCTCTACAAGCCCACCCTTGAAATGCCGAGGGCTGGAGACCTTTGCATTCAGTGTTTTGCCTACCGTATCACAAGGATTTCCAATTCCCCAACCTGGTACCGAGGGTCCTTTCAAGTGTCACCCTTCCTCAATTTAGCCCGGTGCACATTTAATGATCTGCACTGCAACACTCCACACTCAATGGTATAGACCTCTCTTGGCTGCAAGAGATAGAACTTCACTCAAAATAGCTTAAGCCCAAAAGGGAATGTTTTGGCTCATCTAACAAAAAGAAAATCTAGGGTTATCTTGGCTTCAGGCATGATCAAACAGTATCACAAGGATTTGCTTGTGCATGCGTTCTCTCTGTCTCTCTCTGTCTCTGTCTCTCTCGCACACCACCCCTCCCTCTTTCTCAACTCTGCATCCTCTAGTAGCTTATCCTCTATACAGCAATGGAGCAGATTAGCTGGTAGGTGTTGATTACGTACCCATCACTGGAGTGCAGGAGGAGATGGGCTCTGCCCTTCTCTAAACCATAAGGATTAAGATGAAAAGGGGATTATTTCCCCAAAGGTGCTGTTACCAAAAAAAAAGAAAAAAAAAAAAAAAAGGAGGGGGGGGGGGGGGGGGGGGGGTAGGGAATGGATGCTTGTGAGGGTAAGAAAACAACAGATGTCCACCTTATACTTGAAAGCTTAAACGTGTAGGCAAATGTCTCCTGGTTCAACTCCCCCTTTGAAAGGTGAGGCTGAGAAAAGTTAACTATTCTATCTTAAAGTGAAGGGTGGGGGGAAGGCAAGGGTAAATATTTGCTTAATTAAAAAATTAAGGGGCACCTGGGTGGCTCAGTCGGTTGAGCGTCCAACTTCGCTCAGGTCACGATCTCTCGGTCCGTGAGTTCGAGCCCCGCATCGGGCTCTGTGCTGACAGCTCAGAGCCTGGAGCCTGCTTCAGATTCTGTGTCTCCCTCTCTCTCTGGCCCTCCCCCCGTTCATGCTCTGTCTCTCTCTGTCTCAAAAATAAATAAATGTTAAAAAAGAAATTAAAAAGAAAAAATTAAACCCACACACTTAAAAGTTTAGACTTTTCTGAAGTTGCCGCATGCCTTTGGAACCCGTTGTGGAGTCAGAAAACTTGACATCCAGCCTGTAGCAGTGGGGAGCCCTGGTTTCCCTCCCCTCACTCCCTATTACCTCCTCAGAGGACTAGAAGGGCGGGGGAGGATGCATGACGAGGGAGAAAGGAATGTCATTTCTGCCTGGTCTCAGACTTTGCTGATCTTAGCTGGGAATGTGCAATTTATTAATTTCCATCTCAACATCTTCAGCAATGACATGTAACAGGAATTAGTTAATTCAGCAAGTATTTGTTGAATGCCTGATCTCTTATCCTTTCTCCCTCCTGTCTTCACCCTCTGCCTCTCTCCTTGTCCTTTCCCATCAGCATTTAAACATCCCCAAGGAGCTCTCATCTTAAAAACTAAACAAATACAAAGCCCACAAACAGAAACTGCCTTCCCCTTAGACCCTTCTCCCTTCCCAGCTACCACTTCTTTATAACCAGATTTCACACACGGAGAGTCCCTAGGTACTATTTGCATTTCCTGGCCTCTCTTGTTCCCTTCTCTGGCCACTCCTGTCCCACTCCTGATCTTGCTGGAACAAGAGAGTTTATGGAAAGAGCACCACTCTCTGAGAACAAAACCTCGGTGTTATGGCTTTGTCATAGCACTAGAATACTAGATGGTAATTGTCTGTGTGATGTCAACTGGAGTATGAACTTCCCGAGAGTTAAGACAGAGTTTGCAGTTAGTCAATATCTTACGGCTGAATGTTAACATACGTCTATTGTAGGTATGGTGACTAGCATGTAGGGAGCATTACACAGATCTCTTTTGAAGCAACTAATTAACCTGGGTTGGCAACAAAAGAGAAGGGCAGGTTTGATATGGGATGGAGAGGAGCGAAATTTTAGGGATCTTGAGCTAACTTAGAAATGTAGGAGGAGAATGAGGCGAGTGTGCTATATTAGAAGGAAGGCAGAAAATAGCTTCACCGAGGGCGTAGCAGGCAACGTTAAATGCCACAGGGAAGTTTCATCTTTTCAAGTTGAACAATACGAGGGGTCGCTGGATTTGCCAAATGATGATCAATTATCTGTTTTTCCCCTTGGTGGTAGTGGAGGGGGCAATTTCAGGGGGATGTTACCAGATTGCAAATCTTTAGGAAGCTGTAATTTGTAGGGTCTGGCAAATGCGAGGATTGCAGTGAATGCAGCGGGAACCTTGGGGAGGTAGGTGATCCAATCTGCACACTTGTCACAATTTCTACACCTGAAATGGATTCAGCCCATCTTATCCCTGTGGTCAAGTGTTCCGAGAGAAAGAGAACGACAGCAGAAAAGAAAAGTGAATGCACTTTTCTTAAAAGTACACGGAGACCCCGGTGCAGTTGTTGTAATTCGTGTGCATTTGAAATGTGAAAGGCCAAGAGGATACACAGGGTGATTATGACCTTCTGATTACCTTTCAAACACACTTTAGAGCATGCTAGAACTCTTCCTTTCCTAGCTCGGTTCATCCCATGCTTCTCACTCCCCTGAAGAGAGAACACAACTTTTCATCATTTAGTCTCCAAGTGGCCCTTCCTTGATTTTTCCCACGAGGTCCCGGATATACAGTTCCAGAACTGGACAGGACTTTATGGAGGATGTTGTAGACTCTGGATAGGCTGCAAGTGGAGTTCTCCGTCCCGAAGCCCCCTCCACAGACGGCCATAGTGGGCACTGCGTCTGTTTGTAGGACCCAGGATACTGACTCCTAAAGGTGAACGAGTAGAAATTCCAGCAACACACGGGGTTTTTACTTGTCTTGGGGCTAATTCACATAATTTGTTTTCAATCGCTTAACTTAATTACTTTTCTCGAAAAGATGCCCGGGACAACGCCAACGTCGGAGGGAGCAAAGTCACCGGGTCAGGATCTGGAAACCATCAGCTCTCACGGTCCGAGGGATGAAGCGCCAAGATTTTAAGGAACCTGCATTCCTGGTGAGCAGTCAAGTTCTTTTAATCCGCTCCCAGCAGGATTCCAGCGGTTTAAAAGACACAAGGAAAAGGAAAAAGAAAATCTGTTGCAAACACAAGTCAACCCGCAGCGAACCCACCCGAAACTTGCTCCTCTCCGAAGAAAAGGCCGCTCCCGCCGCAGAGCGCTCCCGCGTGTACCGCGACGGCTAGGCGGCGGACCACCGCTTAGGGGACAGCAGCCTTGGCGGCGAGCGCGGACCGGGGCGCGCGAACGGGCGCCCCGCGGGGTCGGACGGGGCGGGGCGCGGGGCGCAGGGCGGGGCAGGGCTCAGGGAGCGACGGCCCCGCCGCTCCCTGTCCCGGAGCGCCGCGGGGAGAGAGCGCCGGCGCTCGCGTACCGGGTCCCCCTCCGGCCGGGGCAGCCTCCCGGGCGCCCGCCGCCGTGGTGGCAGGAAGTCCCCGGGAACTACAAATCGAGGCATGCTGGGAACATTCCCCTGCTCCTCCCAGGAAATGTCCTTTGTCCAGCCCTACAGGAAGCCCCAGTGAGGAGTCAGCCGGGCGGGCGGCCAGTCTGCCAGCCAAGCCCGCGGCCGCAGCCGCCGCAGCACAAGGGCAGACGCGCCGCGCGCGGGGCTCCGGCCGGGGCGCGCGCTGCCCTCGCTCCTCGCCGCGCAGGTAGGAGCGTGGCCGCGTCTGGGCTCACGGCCGCCTGGGGATGGGGCTGACCCGGACCCGAGCCGGTCGCCGCGGGGATGGGCTGTGCGCCGGTGAGCGGGTGGCGGAGCGGCTGGGCGAAGTTGTGCAGCGCGCACCGGACCGCTGTCCGCTCCCCCGGGGCGCAGAGGCCCCGCGCGCGTGGCGGGGTGGGGGGAGGCTCTGTTCCCCCCCCCCCCCCCCCCCGAGCCCAAGCTGAGCTAGCTCCGGGATCTGTGGCGAGGGGCGGGGAGGAGGCTGCCGAGACGCGAGGGAGGAGGCAGCGCTGCGAGAGCTGGTGGGACCGTCCCGCCGACCACCGAAGGGGGCATCCGAGACCCTCGGAAAAACGAAGCCCGGGGAGGAGCTTGGAAGGCAAGGAGAAGGTGAAGGGCTTTGTGTGCAGCTGCGGACAGGGACCGAGTGTGCTTCCCTCCCCTTGTCTGTCTGCGCCCCCAGCCCCACTCGAGGCCGGAGGGGTGGGGGTGGGGCACTCCAAGGAGGGGCAGCGGGTCATCTTGGGTCCTTGCGAAACGCGTTCCTCCTCTTCCCTCTCCCATCAGCCGACTCCCATCAGCGGCTTGGGCTGCCATCAGACTGGGCAGATGGCACAATAAGGATGAGTGGGTGGGGAGATGGGCAGCAGCTCGCCGTCCCGGAGGGTCGCCGTTTAGCTCGGGTGGGCTTCCCAACCCCCGATGTCCATGTGTGCCCGTGGGCGGGTAGCGGGGCGAAGCTGACGCGCTCACCCGAGGATAATGGTGTGAGTGGAGGCATGGAGTGAGGCGCGTGTTGGGAGGACAGGGCGAGTAGGAGGTGGAGGGGGCGCTGGGTGTACCTAACGGCCAGTGCACATTACGGCCAGGCTTCCAGAATCGGGTTACCACTTCCTCTGGGACTTTCCACGATTTTCCTTTTTCCTAACTGTCCCCCTCCCCCCCAGTAATGAATCACCCACCCCTTACTACAAGAGCGCCGGGCTGGATTCAATTTGGTCGTGTGTGCCTCCCTGCCTTTATAGCGGGCCTATGCGTCCTTTACCTGTGGGGTGACGCGGGTACGCTGCATCCCCTCTGGCGTTATCCTCGTCCCCGGGGGACTGCGGGTGTGGTGAAGGCGGTTGAATGGTGGCTAGCAAGTTAATAGTCTTCGGGGAGCAAGTTAATAGTCATCCATCCATAGTGATGGATGAGGTGGGCAACTTTGAACGCGGCCCAAGTGCTACTGCTGTATCGGAGCTCACTTGCCTAAGGGACCTCGGTTTCTCCTTTTCCTCCTTCCCGTCTTTTTTTTTTTTTTGTAAATTCTGTATCCAAATGGTTCCCTCCTCTCTTAACAAACCAACATATGGATATTAGTTAACGTGGAATGTATTTTAAGAGCCAAATGAACCTGTAAAAATGCCACTTGGTGGTGAGACAGGAGCAGCCAAGGCTCCTGGTGAGAAAGATGTGTCGAGGCACAGAGCGCAGCACTGTTTATAGAGGGTTTGTACGGGGGAACAGACTCTTCACGCTGGTGTCTGTAGGAGAGGTGAACCGTCTGAAGGGAAGAATGGAGCTGGGAAAAACCCAGTTGTCCAGGCTGAGGGCATGGGGATGGCGGATAAAGCGGAAAGGTATGTTTCCGATAATGCGGAAAGGTATGTTCGTTTGGAAGACGATTTCGAGTTGGAACATTTTGGCAGTGTGTGTATGTATGTGTGCATGTGCACATGTATGTGTGTGTTGGCGGTAGAGGCTGTTGTTGGCGGAGAATTTGATGTCAGAAGTTCAGCCGGGCCCCCAGCAGAATAAGGTGGCGTCAGAGTGAACCAAAGTCATAAATGGGAAGCCAGGCCACCCTTTGCCTTACGCACAAAGTAAAACGTTGATGGCCTTCAAAAACCACTGGGATTGAGGAGGGGAATGGGGACAAATCAGACTGAGGCAAAGCGGCCGATGCAGCTGCAGTGGGGTGGGAAGGCTGACCTCACTGGAGGCTGTGTGACTAAGGCTGATAAAGTTGCACCACATTTCCTCTCCCTCCCCCCAGAAAGCTTTGGATTTCCTCAAAATCTACATGTTTGCCTAATTTCTAGCATCCATTTAAGGGAAGGAGGAAGGGTAAAAGTTGAGTATAAAGATGATAAATTAAGACAAAGATACTCCCAGCTCATGTGGAGTGGGGAAAAAAGCCTCACAAAACTGCAGTGCCATTTAAGAGGTCTGGAGCCTGAAGCTATGCCAGTGTTATGTGGGCTTTTTTTTTTTTTTTTTTTCCCAAACATAGGCTTCACAGCCAGTGTGGAGCCCAGTGCCGGGCTTGAACTCACAACCCTGAGATCAAGACCTGAGCTAAGAGTCCGAGGCTTAACCGACTGAGCCACCCTGGCGCCTTTGTGGGCTTTTCTTTGTATCTAAGATGCTGCTTCTTTGCCTTTTTTTTTTTTAAACCCCCCTTATCAGATTTCTTAGCACCACATACTATGTAGTGGTAATGTGATCAATAAAGGTATGTCCTTAGTTTGGCATTCAAAACCCTTCACAGTGCTGTGCCCGCTCACCTTGATCCTCCACTGGATCCAGAGCACCCCAAATTACCTACCCATTTTTGCAGCAAACAGTACCGGTTCCCAGATGCCACAGATATCCTTCCACCAGTGTGTCTCCACCGGATTAAACTCCATGCTTGTTAGGCATCCCGGCACTGCCTCTGATTATTTTCTGCAAATCCTAGCCTAACTGATGGAGCACCCTTCTGGAAGTCTTCCCAGACTTCCCAGTCAGAATTCATCTCATCCCCGTGGTACTTTGTATCTTTTGGATGACTCACACCTCTGGTCTGTCTTGTGGTAGCTGGATGTTCATATTTCTCCCCATCAAACTGTAACCCCCTTGAGGGCAGTGGTCATTCTACCCTGTGCTTTACCTAGCAGTGCAAAACAGGTGTTTATTTGAAAAGCATGAGTAAATGAGGAGTGAGTGAAAGAATGCATATGTCTTTGTTTTAAACATCTATGTATTTGAGAGAAAGAGAGAGGGAGAAAGTGGGAGAGGGGGAGAAACAGAAAGACGGAGACAGAGCATCTGAAGCAGGCTCTGCAGAGTCCAGTTTGGGACTTGAACTCAGAACCAGGAGATCATGACCTGAGCTGAAATCAAGAGCCAGTCGCTTAACCGGCTGAGCCACCTAGGGGTCCCAAGAATGCATATGTCTTAATTTATCTCTTTTCTACAAAAAAGGGGATGAAGCCTTTCTCATAGACCTGTGAGGATTCATTGCAATTGTGAACCTAAAGCATCTGGTGCATAATAGTCTGGAACTTTTCCTTTTGCTCCTGGATTAAGAGGCCCTAGAAGGATCTATCACCAAGTCTAGTGCAAAGACATTTATTAGAAGTTTGTTGAGTAGGTTCTTTGCCAGCCTACGTTTTCAGACTCTTATAGACAGGGTGCAGAATGGATTAATCCCAGGTGAATAATCAGTGACTTTTTGGCTGGCTCCTGGACGGAAGGAGGTAACTGTTCCCTCTCAATTTTGTGAGGGTGAGATGTGCTTTCTAGAAAGCAGCACCGCAGAGGCTCTCCTGCTGTTTGGAGTGAAGCCACTGACGTCTGTCATGTTGCTTTGATTTTTTTTTTTTTCCTAACTTTTTAATGTTTATTTATTTTTGAGAGAGAGAGAGAGACAGAGTGTGAGTGGGGGAGGAGCAGAGGAAGAGGGAGACACAGAAACTGAAGCAGGCTCCAGGCTCTGAGCTGTCAGCACAGAACCTGACACAGGGTTTGAACCCACAAACCGCGAGATCATGACCTGAACCGAAGTTGGACGCTTAACCCACTGAGCCACCCAGGCGCCCCATGTTGCTTTGGTTTTTACAGCCCAAGCTGTCTGCCAGGATTAAAACGTAGTATATACAAGTTACAAGGCAGATCAGACTCTCAGATTTTCCTCCAAGACACTGCAATTTTGTCGCCCCTCACTTAGCTCTAACTGGACAGCTTTTCATGCTTGCTTTTCCCTTGATCACAGCAACAGTTACAGTTATTGAACACCTGTGTAGCAACTATCACACTAGATAATTTCCATGCATTGCCTCTGTCTGATGACTTACCTATTATGATTTCCATTCAAAAACGGAGGAAATGGGAGCTCAGAGGGAAGTTAAAGTAACTTGCTTCAAGTCCCAGATTCCGATCTGGAGGTAGACTGGAATTTGGCTCTCTGACTCCCAACCCTGGTCAGAAAGGGTGGATCTTTCCTCACGCTGGGAGAAAACTGCCAGATCTCTCTTCCTTCTTCCTTCACTTCCCAAATTTCCTGCCAGCAACACTGGGTTTTAAGTTCGTGCTAGTGGATCTCATTCTGAGAGGTACTGGTTTTTCATAAATTCATTATTCTTATGCCCTTAAACTCCCAGGGCCATCAGCTGGAAAGCTCAGGTTCAGAATCCCTAATAAGACCCTGTAGCACAGAACGGTGCCTCGAATCCTTTTCCCCCTCTCTCCCAGCCTATCTGAATTCTTTCTATTCCTCCCTCCGGGCCAAGTCTTACCCCTTCCAAGCAGCCTTTCTTGACACTCCAGGTTACACTCAGCCTCTCCTCTAATTTTCTGCATTGTCTGAAATACCTGAAGGTCAGCGTCTTCCTAATGAAAGCAAACCTGAATAAGCCCCACAGTGGAGGGAATATTTGCGTATTCCCTGCGCATGGCAGGAACCATGTGTCCAGAACACAACCCAGCGTGGGGTGGCCCTTCAGGAACTGAGCTGAGTCGACCATAAATTGGTAGTGACTGAAAATGCAAAAATGCAGGCATGAAACATTATTTGCATGTTGACAGTTTGGAAGAGAGGTCACTGGGATCATGTTCTTGGTTAATTTTCATCCCTTTCACATGACTGCCGCAAGAAATAAACACCTTCTGGAAATATGCCAGAGCCGACCCCTGTATTGCTGAGTTTCATGAGCTTGACTGACATCACTGATAAATGATTAT